TTTCCAGCTCTCCTTGGCCTGGCCACTGAAGACTGATGCCACCCGGATGCTCCTGGAGCCCCATGGAACATCATGGATACGGAGCTATGCGTAACTCTTACCATGGAGGGTAAGTCTGTCCCCTGCCTCACAGACACGGGGGCTACCCACTCGACTTTACCCTCCTTTCAAGGTCAGTTTCTCCGGCACCTATTACTATTGTGGGAATTGAAGACCAAGCTTCTAGACCACTCCTAACCTCCCAACTTTAGTGTCAGCTAAGACCACACTCCTTTTCCCACTTCTTCTGGGTCATTCCTAACTACCTGGTTCCTTTATTAGGCCTAGATATCTTAACTAAATTGTCTGCTTCCTTGATTATTCCTGGACTCCAGCCCCATCTCACAGACACCCTTTTGCCGAGTTATAAGCCTTCCCTACAACCCTCTCTTGTATCCCCAAATCTCAACCCGAGTGTCTGGGTTACATCTACTCTGTCATTGGTCACTGAACATAAGCCCATTATTATTCCACTAAAACCCAACCATCCCTACCCCACCCAAAAGCAGTACCCCATCCCTCAACAAGCTTTGCAAGGGCTGAAACCTGTTATCACCCGCCTGTTACAGCACGGCCTCCTAAAACTCACCAGTTCTCCTTACAACACTCCTATCTTGCCTGTCCAAAAACTGGACAAGTCCTACCAGCTAGTTCAGGACCTCTGCCTTATCAATTAAATTGTCCTTCCTATATATCTTGTGGTGCAAAACCCAAATACTCTTCTGTCCTCAATTCCTCTATCCACAACCCATTATTCTGTCCTTGATCTCAAAGATGCCTTTTTCACCATCCCCCTACACCCTTCCTCTCAGTCTCTCTTTGCCTTTACCTGGACTGACCCGATACCCACCCTTCACAGCAACTCACCTGGACCGTCCTGCCTCAGAGTTTCAGGGACAGCCCGCACTACTTCAGTCAGGCCCTCGCTCGCGATTCACTGTGTTTGTGCTCCTTGTCTTTCCACCTTATTCAATATACAGACAACCTGTTGCTGTGCAACCCCTCTTGTGAAACTTCTCAGCAAGACACCATCCTGCTTCTTCAGCACCTATTTTTAAAAGCGTATCGAGTGTCCCCTTCTAAGGCCCAAATTTCTTCCACGTCTGTCACTTATCTGGGCATAATCCTCCAACAAAACACTCATGCTTTCCCTAGCGATCGGGTCCAGCTAATCTCTGATACCCCAACCTCCTCTACCAGACAAGAGCTTCTCTCCTTCCTGGGTATGGTTGGCTACTTTCGCCTCTGGATACTAGGTTTTGCTGTTCTAACTAAGCCACTATATAAACTCACTAAAGGAAACTTATCCAACCCTATTGATCCTAAAACCTTTCCTTACTCCTCCTTTCGCTCCTTAAGACAGCTCTAAAAACTGCTCCCACCCTAGCTCTCCCCAACTTGTCTCGACCCTTTTCATTATATACTGCTGAAATCCAGGGGTGTGCAGCTGGAGTTCTTACTCAAGAGCCAGGTCCACATCCTGTTGCTTTTCTCTCTAGACAACTGGACCTCTCTCCTAGGCTGGCCCCAATGTTTGCAGGCCACCATGGCAGCTGCTCTAATGTTTCTGGAAGCTTTCAAAGTTGCAGGTCACGCTTCACTTACTTTATACACTTCTCACAATCTCCAGGCTTTAATATCCTCTTCTCATCTTCCACATCTTTTATCTGCTCCACGTCTAGTCCAACTCTATTCGCTTTTTATTGAAACTCCCACTGTGATTATTGTGCATGGCCCCGATTTTAATCCAGGCTCTCACCTAATACCAAACATGAATGCTACTCCTGCACGGCATAACTGCATCTCCTAGTACATATTGCTGTTTCCCCTTTTCCCCACATCTCTCTTTCCCCTATTCCAGACTCTGACCACACATAGTTTATTGATGGCAGCTCTTCCAAACCTAACCAGTCCTCTCCAGGAAAGGCTGGCTATGCTGTTGCTTCCCATACTTCTATCATTGAAGCTGCCACTCTTCCTCTATCTACCACTTCTCAATAGGCTGAATTAATAGCACTCACATGTGCTCTTACTCTGGCTCAGAGTGAATATAAATACTGATTCCAAATATGCCTTCCGCATCCCCCATCACCATGCTGTCATTTGGGCAGAAAGAGGTTGTCTCACTGTACAAGGAACTTCCATTATCAGTGCTTCTTTACAAAAGGCCTTCCTTAAAGCTGCTCTTCTCCCATTTAAGGCCAGGGTCATCCACTGTAAAGGGCCCCGAAAACCTTCAGATTCCATTGCTCGAGTAAACGCGCTAGCAGACAAAACAGCTGGAAAAGCAACCAATGTGCTACTATCTACCCCACCTAGAGGACAGTATTTTTCTTTTTCATCAATTAATCCTCTTAATTCAACCTCAGAGTCATTGAAGTACCAGTCACTCCCCACTGAAGGTAATTGGTTTTTAGATCACAAAAAATTAAGGACCTCCAGTTCCATCCATACTGCTGCAAATGACACGATTTTATTTTTTATGGTTGTGTGTACATATGCCACATTTTCTTTATCTAATTATCTGTTGATGAATATTACAATTGATTCTGTTTCCTATTGTGAATAGTATTGTGATAAACCTATGAGTGCAGATATTTTTTGATTTTATTATTTCTTTTGGGGGAGTAGATACCCAAAAGTGAAAGGTTAACCTCTGTCATATCTATATCATAGAAGATTATTCATTTAAATTTAGATAAAACAATGAAAATTAAAGGCTATCTTTGTGTTTTTAAATTACAAATTATAAATATATAAAACATATATATGTATAAAGAATATATATGTGTATGTATGCATTGCAACTGAGATATATATGTGTGTGTGTGTGTGTGTGTGTATATATATATATATATATATATATATATATATATATATCACCAGGCAGGTATAATTCATACAAAAGGAACTAGATTGAAATATGAGATACGTCAAAATATTGTTTGCATTTGTTTTGAGCGATGAGATTTTAAGTTTTCCTTTGGCTTTATATTTTTTGATACTTTTTTGAACTTTTTCGTCAATGAATAAATAATACTTAGGAATATTGTGTTTTTGAGGAAGAAGTACATTTGTCAGATCTAAAAAGAGCACTAAAATGGAGATTAGATATTCTAAAGAATATCATTTCCAAATGGAATCAAAGAGGACATAAAGTAACTCAAGTCTCTGGACAACTGACAGTTAAGCCTCACTTCTATCTTTAGTGGAGAATTTGTACTTCAGTTGGCAGCCTTCCTCAAGCTAAAGGCAGCTCTCAAGCACTAATAAGGGCACCAAATTCATCATTACGCCTTGCAATTGTCAGCATGAGTCATTATTTTTAGGAAGAATGTAAATGCTTTGACAGCAGGCATTACTCCTTCAAAGTCTACATTTATTAAAAAAAAAAAAAAAAAAAAAAAAACCCCACAAGTCTATACAAAATTGAAAATATCCTAAGGGGAAACTACCTGAAATAGAATCTACTACTCATCTCAAGGTTTACCAGTTTGTAGACTCATTTTCAAGGGTGCATGGGTGAATGTCTTGTAATGGATCCTTTAGTGCTGTGAAGTTGGTGCCAAAAGTAATTGTGGTTTTTGCCATTTTTTTTAATGACAAGAACCATTACTCTTGCACCAACCTAATAATTGAGTTTCTATTGTCTACTTCCTTGACATTATCTATCTATCTATCTATCTATCTATCTATCTATCTATCTAATCTATCTATCTATCTGTCTATCTAATCTATCTATCATCATCAACATGTTTATTCAAGACTTAAACTGTGCACTGCTGATATATTAGTAAGCAAATCAGATAAGTGTGCTGCCATCAGGATGAGTGAATGAATACATTACAGCAGAAACCATTGGCTGCCTCTCAGAGCAACCCCCTTCCTATTACTTATCTGTAAAAAATACAGTCTTTCTCAATAGAATCTAAAAATGCTAAGGTTTTGCCTTTGGATGGATGCACGACCTAGTCTGAGACCTAGTTTGGTGAATCTTCTCAAAAAATTCTCCTCCTTCATAAAAACAATGACCTTGGAGGATAAATGCCTCCTTTTTCTTTTTTGATTGTGTACACAGTTAGATGAGGACACTATATATATATATATATATATATATATATATATATATATATATATCTTTAGTGACCATCATGATTCTTTGAGGAACCAAGGCTTAGAATAAGTAAGTTGGAGGTTGTTATATGGAGTGATGGGGAGGACAATGAAAAACAAACCCGAGTCTTGGTGACATAAACTATAACATTGCCATACTTCCAGCCCTTTTGTTATTTGAGTTAATAAAAGTCCTAAGTGGAACAGGTTTTGGAAGTATTGTATATACTGAAGGAATTCTAATTCATGCAACTTCATAGTCCCTTTGTATTCAGGTCTCCTGATTTCATAAAATTTAAAATGACACGCAATAACAAGGTTTACAAATAATATATCTCATATATTAAGCAATAAAAGGTTTCCACAAGTCCTGATCTTGGTAATAACTGAAAGCTGATGAATCACTAATCTATATTCAACTGGCATATTACATACAAATAAATCACTGAATATCTGAACTGTCTCATTGCCTTCTGCTCACATTTCTTTCTAAAACTCTGATTTGAAAAATAAATTTAAAAGATTCAAAAGGCCTTCTATGGTCTACTTTTGCATAAGTCTCTTAGCTTAAAATCTGCAACTCATGAACTCTGGAAACCAGGATTTGTTTTATAAAATTTCTAACCTGCTGGAATGAGGCAGGCCTTTGATTAAGAATGAATGTAGTAAATGATACTTCCACTTATCTCCATTAATTAAGTAGGCAAGAAAATAAAACTATTTCTAAAACAGTCAGATGCAACTCCAATTCATGAAAAATGTCAGAAATTAATTTAAACTAAACAATGTTTTTGATATTTTAGGTATTGGGCTAGCAAGTTTCAAGGAAAAGAGAGAAAGAGACTCACCTTAAATAATAAATCCTTCTTCCCATAACGAAGCTCCTTCAGCTGGGCTTGAATTTTTTTTGACTGTAAGATAAAAAACATGGATAAGTACCATAACTCATTTATATTTATTTCCAAACTTGAAGATTTAAATTCTTTCAGACTTTAAAGGAATACATTGGCAGCCAAGCAATGCACAGTCCAGTGAATTTAGAAATAAAACAGAAAAGCCTGAACTCTTCTTTGAGTCAGACATCCGGACATTCTAGGCAGAAAGCGAAAAACCAAAGCTTGTTTAAAACATGTTATGTAAAGAAAGTTGATTATTGTTCTTCCCCTAATCCACAACTAAACACAGAGAATTTCTGTCACCTAGGCTTGGCCATCAGTCTAATTTTAGATGCTAATTACCTGTGCATATGTATGCCTGACTTTTTACTACTTATTTTCAATTACTTATTTTTTTAATTAAATGCGAGTAAATTTGAATTTACCATTTGACCAAGAGAAGCGAATATGACCAGAAGCAAGAAAAGCTGCTATAATGCTAACATGCTGAGCTGAATGGTGTTTGCACTTTAGAACAATACACTTTTTAAGAGGGCTATCACAAATATGAAAATACTTAAAAAGAAAATATTTCTCAGCAGTATGCTTTGACTACCACATTGAAATACGGTCCCTTAAGTCACAGAATGATGATCATGCATTTTCAATTTTTCAGGAGAGTCCCAATTTCTAACATTATAATATAAGGACTTCAGTTCATTGTATTTCTGTACCTAAAATTATAGGTCCTGATTCTTTACTCAGGCAAAAACAAACAAAAGAAGAAAACTGCCACCACCAATAACAACACACACACACACACACACACACACACCACACACACACACACACACACAATAGATTAGCATGATCACTTGAAGGAAAAATTGATAATTAAAATGTATTTGAGAGGAATTATAAATTAGTATCATAACTTTGGGAAACTGGCAGTTTCTGACAATATTAAACATATGTACACTGCATTACACTGCCTTATACTGCAATATGTCCCAGGTAATTACCCAAGAGGAATTACAACATACACAAAAATGCTTATTGTATCTTTATTCATAATCAAAAGCTAGAAAAAGCGTATGTGTTAATAAGCAATGAAGAGATAAATGATAGACTACTCATGAGATGGAGTACTAGAATTCCGCTGAGCAATTAAAAAGGAATGATGTACTGATTAATGGAACAATATGAACAAATTGCAAAAGCATTATACCATGTGAAAGAATCCAGTAACTAGAAGGTATAATTTGTATTATTCTATTTGGATAATATTCTAGAAAAGGCAAACAAACAGGGACAGACATCAGTTTAGTAGTTAACATGGGCTGAGCGTTGGAGGTGAAAATTTAGTATAATATAGCAAGAAGACATTTTGGAGGGTAATGAAAAAATTCTATATTTTCAATCTATACATTGGCCAAACCCATCAAACTATACACTTAAAGTAGATAAATTGTATGTATGCAAATTATATCTCAATAAAATTAAATTTTAAAAGCAGCTGGCTATAGTAGGTTACAAACCCCAGATCCTTATGTGAGTATTACCTCCTAGTAAACTGTGTTGACATAAGTCTTTAATAAAGAAAGTTTCTTTAACAAAGTCTACCTATATTGTCAAAATATAATTTTCCAAGCTTACAAAGCATGTATATGAGTTTTTCACTGAGCCAACTGCAAGTTTATAGTGATTCAGTTTTCTATAATATTCAGAATATTTCTTTTTTCTGTTTTTTTTTTCTTTTTTCCTTTGAGACAGTGTCTCCATCTGTCACCTAGGCTGTAGTGAGTAACCCTATCTCAGCTCACTGCAACTTCCACCTCCTGGGTTCAAGCAATTCTCCTGTGTCAGTCTCCTGAGTAGCTGGGTCTACAGGCAAAGGCCACCATACCCAGCTAATTTTCTGTATTTTAGCAGAGACAGGGTTTCACTGTGTTGCCCAGGCTGGTCTTGAACTCCTGAGCTCAGGCAATTGCCTGCCTCGACCTCCCAAAGTGCTGGGATTACAGTGGCATGAGCCACTGTGCCCAGTCCCAGAGTATTTCTAATTATGCAATGTACTTGACTTGTGAAGTAGGAGCTGTGTTATAATGGCACAATAATTTTTCGATCATTGTTCAACGTTGTAAGTACTATCAATTCAAGTGGAAACTTGAAAGTGTCGTCAATGATACACCACTGAAAGGTTCTAATATTGTTAACACAGTTTTTCAAAGATATTTCTATTATAAGTCACGTGCATTTTGTGATCTATTGAATCAGGAAGTTAATAAGAAAAAATAAAAAGAAAAGGAAATGAAAAAAGAAGAAAGAGACAGGAAGAGAAGCAGAGGGAAAGAAGGCGGTAAAAAGGAAGTGAGAAAGAGGAAAAGAAGGTAAGAGGAGAAAAGAAAGAAAGGAAGAGATGAAACAGGAAGGAAGGAAGGAAGGGAGGGCTTAAGACTGAGATATGCTAATAATTCTATATTACTGAACTCTATATAAAGCAGCAGCAAGAATTTATGGTTTGTCACAGGGTAGTTGATATTCTTTTTATTTCCATAGAAAGTCACCCTTCTTTTGATATGGATAGTGAAGATGAAATGCATGATGCATAAGAGAACAAAAAGACATGATCGAGTATACATAGTGGTTAATGGCTTTTATGAATAAAACTCGCATTGAGCCCTCAATGCATTGACTTTATTCTTCTACTTCAGAATCATATTTACTATATCACTGTCTTTCCTCACACAGCTTCCCAAATGACTCAAAATAATATTTCAAGTACAGCATCTGTTTCTTATTATGTTAACTTACTCTTTGTATTAGTCTGTTCTCATGCTGCTATAAAGAAATGCCCAAGACTGTGTAATTTATAAAGGAAAGAAATTTAATTGGCTCAGAGTTCTGCATGGCTGGGGAGGCCTCATGCCACTTGCAATCATGGTGGAAGGCACCTCTTCACAGGGTAGCAGAAGAGAGAATGAGTGCCCGCAGGGGAAATGCCAGATGCTTATAACACCATTAGATCTCCTGAGAACTCACTCCCTATCAAGAGAAAAACATGGGAGAAACTGCCCTCATAATTGGATTACCTCCCACCACGTTGCCTCCTATAAAATGTGGAAATTCCGAGATTACGATTCAAGGTGAAATTTGGGTAGGAACAAAAAGCCAAACCATACCATTCTGCACCAGCACCTCCCCAATCTCGTGTCCTTACATTTCAACCATGCCCTTCCAACAGTACCCCAAAGTCTTAACTCATTCCAGCATTAATCCAAAAGTCCAAGCCCAAAGTCTCATCTGAGACAGTGCAAGTCCCTTCTGCCTATGAGCCTGTAAAATTAAAAGCAAGTTAGTTACTTCCTAGATACCATGGGGTACAGGTGTTGGGTAAATATACCCATTCCAAATGAAAGAAATTGGCCAAAACAAAAGGGCCACAGGCCCCATGCAATTCTGAAAGCCAATAGGGCAGTCATTAAACCTTAAAGTTCCAAAATGATCTCCTTTGACTCCATGTCTCACATCCAGGTCATGCTGTTGCAAGAGGTGGCCTCCCACAGCCTTGTGCAGCTCCACCCCTGTGGCTTTGCAGGGTACAGTCCTCCTCCTGGCTGCTTTCACAGGCTAGCATCAAGTGCCTATGCCTTTTCCAGGTGCACAGTGCAAGCTGCTCGTGGATCTACCATTCTGGGGTCTGGAGGATGGTGGTTCTCTTCTCCCAGCTCCACTAGGCAATGCTGCAGTGGGGGCTTTGTGTGGGGCTCTGAACCCACATTTCCCTGCTGTACTTCCCTAGAAGAAGTTATCCATGAGGCCTCCACCCCTCCAGGAAATTTCTACCTGGACATCCAGGCATTTCCATACATCCTCTGAAATATAGACAGATGTTCCCAAACCTCAATTCTTGACTTTTGTGAACCCACAGACTCAATACCACAGGGAAGCCACCAAGGCTTGGAACTTCCACCCTCTGAAGTAATGGTCTGAGCTGTACCTTGTTCCTTTTAGCCACAGCTGGAGCTGAAGCAGGGCACCATATCCAAAGGCTGCACAGAGCAGGGTAGCCCTGGACCCAGCCCATGAAACCATTTTTCCCTCCTAGGCCTCTGGGCATAAGATAGGAACGGCTGTCATGAAGGTTTCTGCATGCCTTAGAGACATTTTCTCCATTGTCTGGGTGAATAACATTGGGCTTCTCATAACTCGCATATTTCTTCCTTTGGCTTTCTCCCCACAAAAAAGTTTTTTTTAATTGCATTGTCAGTCTGCAAATTTTCCAAACTTTTATGCTCCACTTCATCTGAACACTTTGCCGCTTAGGAAATTCTTCCACCAGATATCCTAAATTATCTCTCTCAAGTTCAAAGTTCCACAGATCTCTAGGGCAGGGGCAAAATGCTGACAATCTCTTCGCTACAGCATGGTAAGAGTCACCTTTGCTCCAGTTCCCAACAACTTTCTCATCTCCATGTGAGACCACCTCATCCTGGACTTCATTGTACATATCATGATCAGCATTTTGGTCAAAACCATTTGACAAGTCTCTAGCAAGTTCCAAACTACCCCACATCTTCCTGTTTTCCTCTGAGCTCTCCAAACTGTTCCAACCTTGCCTGTTACCCAGTTCCAAAGTTGCTTCCACATTTTTAGCTATCTTTAAAGCAGTACCCCACTCTGTTGTACCAATTTACTATATTAGTCTGAGCTCACACTGCTATAAAGAAATATCTGAGACTGCAGAATTTATAAAGGAAGGAGGTTTAACTGACTCACAATTCCACATGGCTAGGGAGGCTCTCTAAGATAATTCTGCTTTACATGATAATCATTATTTTATGCTGCCAATTTTACTAAAGGATAATTTATGATATCTCTCACAAATTCAAATGCAGAGTTGATTGGCATTATCCCCACCTGTTCCAATCTACTCTCCAGGACTCGTTTACTACCAGGTTTCTCAGAAAAACAGACTTTCTTGTTTTGTTTTGTTTTTTCTCATAATAAAATTGATGGTATCATTGAAGAGTGGAAGATTACTACCACATAAGGTGCACATTTGTCAAACTGAATGTCAATTCCTCCACATAATTGATGCTCTATCTTTCAAGTGACAGAATGGTTGCATTTTAACTATTTGAGGTGTTCATTTTTAAAACATAATTAAAATGCATATTCTAAATATACAGAATATCCTTTAAATTTTTCCACATTACTTGGAATTATCAAAACATCAATTATTGCATTCTTCAATGATTCATTCAGGAACTGCAATAAAACCTTCTGCATTTAATGATCATGAATGACTATTTAGCTTTGCTACTATAATATATTAAAAAAGTGGCTCACGCCTGTTATCCCAGCACTTTGGGAGGCCAAGGTGGGTGGATCACGAGGTCAAGAGATCAAGACCATCCTGGTCAACATGGTGAAATCCTGTCTCTACTAAAAATATAAAAAATTAGCTGGGCATGGTGGCGGGTGCCTGTAATCCCAGCTACTCAGGAGGCTGAGGCAGGAGAATTGCCTGAACCCAGGAGGTGGAGGTTGTGGTGAACCGAGATCGGGCCATTGCACTCCAGCCTGGGTAACAAGAGTGAAACTCCGTCTCAAAAAAAAAAAAAAAAAAAAAAAAAAAAAATGTTTTAGGAGTTTTCTTCACAGTTACTCATTTCTTTGCTTCCAGCACTCTTCTAATTTTCAGTTAAAAGGCAAAATCCTGTCTGAAGGTTTCAGGAAAGGTTATGCAAAGAATAAATGCACTCTGAGGGGGTGCACCTCTTTTTTATAATGTATAATAATTCAAAACCCAGCTGACAATTAGACTGTTTTATTTTAGCTTGTTAGTAACATATTGAAAAGTTAAAATTATCAAAAGGATAACCTTCAAACAATTAGTGATTTTAAATACAGTTCCAAATGTTGGTTGCCTGTGAGTCATGAATTTTTCCTAAGAACTTTTCACAGCAAAATTAAAGTTGCTAATAATGATAATGTTGTCTATATTACAAAGACAAGGAAGATGAAGAAGAAGGAAGCCATGATAGGAATTTAGCTCAGCTTTTTTAGCCCATTTAGGAGATTATCTTTCAATCTGAGATTTTTGCTTCCTATAATTTCATATTCAAACAGCATTTCTTTCATGAAATAAAAGTGATGATTTTGGTAGATGGTGCTTATAGTAGCTTCACTTTTTAATGTTGTTCTCTGCCAAATTAAAACAATATTAATCTTCTGGGTGTGAATGGGATTTAAATTCTTGTATGAATAGTGAAAGTTGAGGGTCACTGATCAAACAGGCAATCGCCTTTTTTAGCTCCTAACCAAGAAAATATATTAGTATTTTGTTTTTGGTAATGATGGTGTATCAAATAACTAAATTTGCCACCATATTGTTTTGAACCTGTATTGCGACAGACAAAAACACAGGCCTGCCCCATTATCAAGTATGTTAAGCTCTGCATTTATTCTATAAACATATAATGACATACAGCAAATAAATTGTAATGAACCTATTATAATACATTTTAATATTAGGCATAACAATACATTTTAATATTAGGCAACACGAATACATGAAGTATGTAACAATTCAGGGATAATATCTTCTCCTAGGCATTGAGATGAAGAAAAAATAGGAATTATTCTTGAACTGACTAAAAAATAAAGGTAAGCTCCATTTTTACTTCTGTGAACCACAGATATTTCTCCTAGAAGCTTCCTCCTTCCCTTCCATGTACAGGAATGTCAATGTGAACCCTGAACACATGTAGATTATCTCAGAATAATCTAGATATTATTAATTTCAATCTAGATATTATTAATTCAAAACACCATTCCACCTGGTTACCCTCCTATAAGTAATACTCAGAACCTGCACAAACCACATTTGTACTATTTCCAAAACCTGGGAAATGTGAACAATGTACAAGTCTATTTGTATTCAAATAGAAAAACAAGGAAATGAAACACCACACTAGATCTGATCCACAAACCATTTAGTCTAATTTTTCATCTTATGGAACATGATTTTTTATTAGTTTATCTGTGTTAAACATTTCTATTCATGCCATTTATAATATTTTAGGAAAGATATTATAAAATGGGTTTTTACATTGCATGTTAGACTTGAATGTTTGTGTTTGGGTTAATGAATTTTTATTTTTTAAGGAGAGTTTTCACCTTCTTTAACTCTTTAGCAAAGAAATCTCTGTTTGGACTGGACACAGGACCACTGACCTAATGATATTTTTCAGACTCTCTTCAACTTAGCTCAGCATGTGACCTAGTTTTAGCAAATAGAGTACAATGAGACAGAAGAGACTATTTTCTGGGTGGACTCCTGAAAAGCAATTCTTGTGCTTCACCAGATTATCTTCCCTTTCCCTCCTGCTGGAAGAGGATAGTGACAGAAAAAGATATTTTTGAACCAATGTTGTTTCCATAATTAAAAGGCAATAGAGCTGTTTTAGAAGCTCTTCTCCTTACTCCTAGACAACTCTGAGAAAAAGGGTAAACTTGCTTTAACTTGTATAAGCAACTTTTCTCATTGTACCTAAACTTCCTTCTCAGTTGCTTCATAGGCATAAGACATTCATCATATGAAGCCACTTATCTGAGTGTCCCTTATCATTCATAGGCTATATCTTGAATACATTTCTTACACATCTAAAATAACTTTGTATGCGCTTCTTGAAGGATGCAATTAAAACAGTGACTCTTGTCTCTTCTCCTTGAGGCATAAACAATCATTTATCATGACAGCATCACTACTATTTCATTACTATTACTAAGACTTATAGGAGATACATTTTACATTATAGATTCATAAGAATAGATAGATTTGGAGATGAGAAGTATAGAAAATTGATTATTTTAGTTAAATCTACATTAATCAGAATGACATATTTCCCCCTGAGAAACATATAGGACAATTTTACTACACAGCCGATAGAACCAATGTATGTATTTATTTTGTATGGTTTATTGCCAACCCCAGAATCTTCACTCTGTCAACTGCCACTGCAAAACTTTGTAGACATCACATAGAAGGCACAAGAGAGGAAAAAAGGAAAATTTTATGAACTTCCAGGAATTTGCTATTGAGGAAATTCTGATAGCCCAGGTAAGGAAGAAATCCAGAAAAATAAAATCTTACAGAAGTGACTATTACCTGCCTTTGTTAAAATTTATTTATTTTTTCCTTTTGGCTATTGCAATGTTAAAACACAAAGACAATCAAATGTTTAAAATGTGTTTTATTTTTCTATTTCAAAATTTGCATTTTTTGTTAGGAGGAAAAAAAAATTCCAGATGTCTGGATTGAATAAAAATCTGGAAATAATATTGTTTTTATTGGGCTAAAGCTAGAAGAAGCAAAAATTTACTCACCTCTTCTGCATGAATGCCGCAGAGCTTGTTTCCCGACAAGAGTTTGTTTTTCAAGCTTTTATTCTGCAGAAGAAAACATAGTTTTATTGCAAAGAAGAGACAAAATATTAAGAATTTCTTCAACTACATCAGCATTACTGCATTATGTTCTGTTCAAAAGTTAGACTTTCATGATATAAAATGTAATGAATTGGTATAAAGCTGAATCAAATCTTTAATGTAAAATATTGTTTTTTATTCAATTAAAATTTGCTGTATTAGCATTAACACTTTCATTTAAAAAAGTAATTTCTAGTTTTATTCTATTGTGGGCAGAAAACATAATTGACACAATTTCATTTTTGAAAAAAAAATGTGTTAAAATTTGTTTTTGTGTCCTAAAATACAGTCTATAGAGAGAACATTTCATGTGCTGATGAGAAGAATGGGTATGCTGTAGCTGTTGGGTAAAATCTTCTGTAAATGTCCATGAGGTCCATTTGATGTGGAGTGCAATTTAACTCTGATGTTTCTCTTTTTTTAGTTATTTTTTTGAGACAGAGCCTCACTCTATTGTCCAGGCTGGAGTGAAGTGGTATGATCTCAGCTACCTGCAACCTCTGCCTCCTGGGTTCAAGCACTTCTGTTTCAGCCTCCTGGGTAGCTGAGATTACAGATGTCCACCACCATACCTGGCTAATTTTTTTTGTATTTTAAGTAGAGATGGGGTTTCACCATGTTGACCAGGCTGGTCTTGAACTCGGACCTGAGGTGATCTGCCTGCCTCGGCCTCCCAAAGTGCTGGGATTACAGGCGTGAGCCACTGTACCTGGCCTTACTCATGTTTCTTTGTTGATTTTTTGTTTGGGTGATATGTCTAGTTCTGTGGGGTATTACAGTGTCCCACTATTCTTACATCACAACGAACCTCTCCATTTAAATCTGTTATATAAATAAATAAATGTGTGTATATGTATGTGTGTGTGTGTGTGTGTGTATAATATCCATATATATGCTCCAATATAGGATGCATATGTAATTGCAATTATTATATCCTTCTACTGTAATGACCCTATTATCATTATATAAGGGCCTTATTTGTCATTTTTTAAATGATTTGTTACTGAAAGTCTGTTTTATCTGATGCAAGCATAGCTATTCCTAATCTGTTTTGCATGGAATATCTTTTTCCATCCCTTCACTTTCAGTCTATGCATGTCTTTATAGGTGCAATGAATTTCTTATAAACAGCATATATTTCAGTCTTTTTTTTAGTCCATGTAACCACTTTATGTATTTTAATTAGATAATTTAGTTTGCTTATAGTCAAGGTTATTATTGATAGGTAAGGATTTACTACTTCTGCACAACAGAAGAAAACAATACAGTGAAGAGGCAACCTAAAGGATGGGAGCGAGTATTTGCAAACTACTCAGCTAACGAAGGTTAATATCTAGAACAAACCACGAATACAAATCAAAAGCAAAAAGCAAATAATATGATTTGTAAAAGTGGCAAAATATCTGAATAAGCATTTCTCCAATTCCTTTGTCTTCTGACAAACAAATGCCAATAGATATACCGTAAATGTTAAACATTACTAACCATCAGGAAAATGCAATGAGATATTACCTCACCCCAGTTAGGATGGTTATTATCAAAAAGACAAAAAATAACAAGTACTAATGAGGATGTAGAGAAAGGGGAACTCTTATGCACAGTTTCTGGGAATATAAATTAGTACAGCCATTATGGAAAACAGTATGGAAGTGTTACAAAAATTTAAAAATAGATTAATATGTAATCCAGCAATCCCATTACTGGATATATCTCCAAAATAAATGAATCAGTATGTTGAACAGATATTTGTATTGCTACATTTATTGAAGCACTATTTATAATAGCCAGGGTATGAAATCAATGTAAATGTTCATCTACAGATGAATGGAGAAATAAAATGTGGCACATATAGACCATGGAATACTATTAAGCCATAAAACAGAATGAAATCCTTTCATTTGTGGCAACATGTGGGTAGAACCAGAGGATGTTATATAGAATGAAATCACCTAGGCACAGAAGGACAATGCAGTACATAAAAAAACTGATTTCATAGAAGCAGAGAGCAGAATAGTGGTGATTTGAGTCTGGGAAGGATAGGAGGAAGTTGAGGCATCAGAAGAAGTTGTTCAACAGGTACAAAGTTACTGTTAGGCAAGAAGAATAAGTTCTGGTGTTTTATTACACAGAATGCCTACAACAAAGAACAATGCAGTGTATGTTTTAACATAGCTAGATGAGAACATAGTGACTATTATAACCACAAAGCAATGATAAATGTTTAAATTCATGGATAGGTTATTAATCACCTTAATTTGATCATCATACAATGTATATAAGTATTCAAACATCATCACATGTACCACATAAATATGTACAATCTATGTCAGTGATAAATACAACTTAATTTGTAAAAAGACAAAACTTTATTTGGTCTTATATTTACTTTCTGTTTCCTATTTTATATGGGATTTTAAAAATAATTTTTGGTTCAAATAAGCAATAGATGCTAGTTTCTGAAAGCAGCCCTCTAAACTGCAGGCATTTATTCCTACTGCTATTTGGATTTTCGTTATCTTGTACCCTAGCATAACATAGTTAAAGATCCCTAAGAGGGTCTGTATTTCCTTAGAAGTCTATAATTGTAAGTCTTCCTAAACTACTAATGTCTGCACATTGAATTCCAAAGGTGTCTTGATTCTCAGAAGCCATTTCTTCTTCCAGGCCTGAGAGATGCTCTTCATGTGGGGTGTGAGTGAGAGATAACACAGGGTAACACAGGTCTGTTACCCTTTAAATATTTCATAATTGACCTAGGTTCAAAGCCAAATGTTGGTTATCTGACACTTCTTAACATCTGAGTGTAACCTCTCATAGCTATTTAATTATATTTGCCTCATTGCACTCAGGCTTTTCTGTCTTTTACCCCAATAACTGAAGTAATAAGTCTGTCTTTAGATAGGCAGGCTAAGGAGAGCAGATAACTGTAAAACCCGCAGGATTCAGACTTCATACTGACTCTATAGGAGTAGATAATATCCTGGTACAAGTACATATTATACATGATGACTCCAAAGAGGGCCAGTTGGATGAGCACCAGGAGCAAAATGAGCATTTAATGCAGAGCGAATGAACACATCCATCAAGTTTAAGAGGTCCCCACTTAGAATTCCAACCTAATTTTAAACAGCATTTTCTATTTTGTTTTCCTATCATGGAGTGAGGGGGTACAGTGTCTCAGTCTGAAAGAATACTTTGTCTTTTCCTCTTTAGCTAAAATTTGGAAATCTAAAAAGCTCAGTTAGAATTTCAATACCATGAAATGTTTGACACAAATGGGAGGAAGTTATTCTGATTTATTCAAGTAATGTCTTTTTGTAAATATTTGCACTGATCATACAAGGTATAATACTAGGGTTCTTTTTTTTTAGGAGAATCTGATACACATTAATTCCATATTTAAAGAGATGTATATGCCCAATAAAGGGATGTATACCGATATGTTCTGCCTCTGCAGTGTTGCTCAGATTGTATCATAATAAAACTCCTCAAAATGGAGACAAGATAAGTGATGTACATCTGATAGGAGTATTTATGTCCTAACAAAAACCATTCGCATCTGATAAACATTAGTAGAAATAAGAAATAACTATAAATTAATAAATGACATATTTAAAAATTGCTGTCTGTAGTATATACTATTTAAAATTTGCATCTCCACTTAAAGTTATTTTTTCTTTTCATTTATGTATCATACAATTATGATTGTATTTATTTATTTATATTAGTACTTGTTCATTTATTAATGTTGCTGACACTCAGGAAATTTTGTATGTTGGTTTGAATGACATAAATTATAGCAAAAAGTAACTTTGATCCTTCAAAAATGATATTATTTCATATTTTTTTCTGAGGCAGAAACATACATGTTAACTAAGATATATGACACAAGACTAATTTTTAGCATACTGTTTATTCCATTGACCTGTTATCTCTGCTTATCACATAGACTTCTTAGAATAGATTATTCTTTAATTACTTGGAGTAGGCTTTTCAGTGACCAGGATGTATGTGTCAAGTTTATAGAGTATCAAGCAGTGCTAAGCATTCTACACTGGTAGTGAAGTTAGAGATTTTAGAAAGATGTTCCACAGAACCATTTAACTTTCTTTAATAATATTTACTCTCCACTCTCCCACAAAAGATTGATGCTATAATTTGAGTTGAACAAAGTTAAAAAGATTTATTTTCTCCAGACTTCTCAGAGTCTTTATTACAATATTGTGCTACGGCCGGGCGCGGTGGCTCAAGCCTGTAATCCCAGCACTTTGGGAGGCCGAGGCAGGTGGATCACAAGGTCGAGAGATCGAGACCATCCTGGTCAACATGGTGAAACCCCGTCTGTACTAAAAATACAAAAAAATTAGCTGGGCATGGTGGCGCGTGCCTGTAATCCCAGCTACTCAGGAGGCTGAGGCAGGAGAATTGCCTGAACCCAGGAGGCGGAGGTTGCGGTGAGCCGAGATCGCGCCATTGCACTCCAGCCTGGGTGACAAGAGCAAAACTCCGTCTCAAAAAAAAAAAAAAAAAAAAAAAAACAATATTGTGCTTCATGGACGCAAAGAGAGCAACAACAGACACTGGGGTCTACCTGAGGGTTGTGGGTCGGAGGAGGAAGAGGATCAGAAAAAAATGACCCATAATACAAGGCTTAGTACCTGGGGGACAAAATAATCTGCACAGTAAACCTCCATGGTGTGAGTTTACCAGTTTACTTTCATAAAAAACCTGCACAGGTAACGCTGAACGTGTACCCCTGAACCTAATTATTATTAGATATTTTAATAATACTAATAAAATTGTGTTTAATATAAATGGTTTTCCTAAATTTGTTTGACAAAAATACACTTTGGACTAAAAAACTTATCTCATTACCAGAATTTGAGAAATAAAGCTGCAAGTATTAACCTATATTTGATTTTACTAAGGGAGACCAAAATATTATAGTACTATATTTTACAGAA